ATCTCCCCAAATCTTGGTCGCAGAAACGTCAAATTTGCGCCAATTTCCTCACCACAGAACATGTTAAATTACGAGTCCAAAAATGTGTTCATCTCTCTGCTTCCCGAGACGTCGTGGCTCCTTTTGTGAAAATTCGCGTTTCGCGAATTAACTTCTTTCCTCGCTCATTCTCCGTATAAGCATTGCACCGGAAAAAGCATACTCCAGTTTTTACAGACCATCCTCGTCCGTCTTCCTGTCAAAGGGTACAATGATTCATCGATCCGTTTTCCCAGGAAGTTCGATGATATGCCTCAAAATCCCAATGTTTTGTCCATAGTACCCCAGATTCATGGTCATTTTTCCAGATCGAAAGCGAATTAAAAAAAATATCAGCACTAAAATATGTGGGGAAGCCTCTTGAGAAGCTTCAGAACCATTTTTTCAAGCGAATCCGTTCATCCGCCTCATATCCTTTGCGATTTTATTGAACCCCAGTTTGAGATTTTACGGTATGTCACAAATGTAGAGCTATTTTTCTCCACTTCATTAGGAATTCAAAGTATACGCAGTAATTTCATTTTAAGTAGGAGCATTCAGGATTCCGATGGTTCCGAAATCCTTTATTAGTTCCACTAGATGTGCAAGTGGGAAAATAAGTATTAAATTCATTCATGCAATTTCCTCTTCATGATGCGCGAGCGCAGGCTGTTACCTCATAGGTTCTCCCTCCCCGTCGCATTCAGTACTCACGCACTTCGCTTCCTCTGTTCTCGCGCCTCCCGCCTGCCTAATCCCCTCAAACGTAGGGACATTGAGCCGGCCGCGCTCTGCCGTTTGCCAGACTTGCTGACGCTCGTATTCCTTCCCTTTCTCTGTGTATCCGTTCCCTTCCTTTCCCATGCTCAAGTTGGATTGGGAACACCATAATACGGAGTCCAAGTTCCGCGCAGGAGCAGACTATTTCAGCGCTACCAGATTGGCCGTGGACGGAGAGCCTTTGAATTCAAGAAACAATGCCCCGTCGCTCCTGACTCAACAATGGGTCTTGGGGGGTTGCCTCGCTCTCCCTCCTTCATCTCGAAAACATTTCTTTTTACGAAAAATTCTGCCCGAACAAGATTTGTAGTCTTGAATCTGCTGTAGCTGCTGGGATAATGTTTTTTTTTTTTTTTGGGGGGGGGGGGGGGGGGGGGGTTTTTAACCCACTTTTGGGGGGGGGGGGGGGGGGGGGGGGTGGGGGGGGGGGGGGGGGGGAAGGGGTCTTTATGACCACATTTAAGTGAGATAAACGCATCTAAAGGATATTTGAATCACGCATCTCACTTTCCATCAGACGCCGTTCATACCTATACTGGGGGATTCAGTACCCCTTACAACTCCGCACCGTCTTCCTTTGCGTGACATCAACATCGGGACAATATTACAGAGCAGGGAAATTGAAACTTGAAAGAGTAGCGACAAAGGAATAAATTCAGAATAATAAAGGTGCATAATGTCTTTTAGTTTCCCGGCTTGAATTTGGCAAATTTCGGGGAAAAGTAAGGCAACCATCCATGCTAGACTAAATATTTAACATTTCCTTGTTCGATATATTATGAAGACTGTGGGAGACTTTCTCCCTCCTTTCAATAGTTTTTCCTTTCGGACCGTCTCTCCAAGCAAAGCCTATCCACGGGTCTTATTGCCCAAGTACGTAAAGAGGCACGGGGGAAATATCCTGGAAATTATTGAACTCCCCTACAAAGAACTGCATCTGTCATACATGTTTGTGTGGACAAGGTCATGAGGTAAAATGTGTGTCCTGAATTGAAAAAAAGGGTAAGTCTAATAGCAAATGAGTTTAATCATGGAATGGAACCAACACCTGATATGTGCTGAAAGAGTGCGGGTACATAGTCACCGTCCATTTTCTAACAGGTACATAATATACATGAAACAGGAAAAAAAGCAAAGAAACGTATACCGCAGACCAGAATGGACTCTAAGCTCCATATCTTGTCTGGAAAGGATGTTTCATGAGACAAGGCATTAGCCAGAATGGCTAGTCATCCTAGCAATGCAAATATGTTCCTCTTAGTTCTTGTTGACAAATGCAAAAGTAGTTCAACGCACTAACTAGATTATTCCCTTCCAGAAAACGTTCCTTACCTTTGCCAATCAAATTTTTCGGGCACAGAAGGCTTCTTATAAGCTTTACCGGCTATTCAGAAGTAGCATATGCTTGCGTAGTTATTTAAATTAGTATCGGGCATGAAATCACACACCTGTGTAACCCTTCCGCTAGTCATGTAGCAAGCTGCAATGAACTTCTTCTGCGGTCCTAACAGCGTTTAGGTTGTTAAGGTCTTCTAATGTGAATGCTGTCTGTGCGCAAGCGCTCCAAAATCACAAGCTGTTCCTTCCTGTGGGATGGATATTCCTTTTATTGAATTATAATGCAATTTCCTGTTGCTCCTCAACTTTCAGACGACAATCGGCACCACCGATGGCTATGAGATGTAAATAGGTCATCGGGCCACCAGGCTAAGGTGGCCTTTGGTACAGCCTTAGTTGTAATGAATCTACAATGTCGAACAGAAAATTAATAGAAACGATGAATGAATCATCGTTTCTATTTGTTCTAGTTCACCGTTTCCACTTCCAATAGGCTGACGTGGGTTAGTAGCAAAACGTGAAATAAATAAAATATGAGGAATGCTTATTCATGGCAGTTGTTTCCTATCAGCATATATTCAGTAATTCAAAGGAAATAAAAAGAAAATTAGTGTTTTTAGTATTTTGAATGAAGCCTTGCCTTTCGTTAGCTTATTGCTTCATTTCGAGGAGCCGAGACCTCGTCCATGAAATTCATAAAAGTAGCATGAATGAAAAAGTGTGTGTGCGCGTGGGGGGGGGGGGCTCGGAAACTGCGATTTCATGCAATCCTGGGATCTTTTCCCTTTTTTTACTTCTATTCTTTAGAAGTTTCGGTGGTGGGGTCTCCCCTGGTCCTCCCGAAGATACGCCGCTGATGAAAATAGAAAGAAAAGCAGCGGTATAAACTTGAGTCAGCAGTGTTCGTTCCAAGAAGCAGATCTTTCTTAATGTAGACTTTGAAGCGAATAATTGAATTTACGTTAAATAAGTTTTTGAGGCTGCTGAGCAAAGCGCAAAATGACTTTGGAAAGGTACTTTCATCAATTACAGGGAAGGAACTGTCCGCTTTCTAGAATTATTCATCTTCAGCAGGGGGTCGAACCCACTTCTTGTTCGTATCACGGTATAAAATACATGAAAATCAGTAATATGAGTACTAGCATCTCCATTGGCGTGTCCAAGGGAGGGAGGGGTTATGACCCCCCTAACAAAATGACACAATGACCCCAACCCCCTCTCTCCCCCTTCACTTGGGATATGTTTTATAGATTCGATTCTCAAAAAAATAAATTTATTTACCATATTTTTTTCATAAGTCAATCTTCCCATTTGAATTTTCTGGGCATGCTACTGAGTATCACTCTCATCTGATCTTTGCTGCCCCTTTCGAGCGAGATGCTCTAGGCTTTCCGCTTTCAATCGTCGGCCCTGAATATCATGCAAACTTTGGGTTGAACACATTGATTTCTACTCCGTCTTCGATCTCGCTCACCGGATGTGGACGGAGAAGAACCACATGCAACAATTCATTGTAAATGGTATCCCCTGCATGAAATTGCATGAAGAGGGGAAAATATGAATCCAGACCCGGTTGTTAATTTGATGTACAAGTACTGTACAGGTATATCTCAATTATGTTTTTGTTCCTTTTTCGCCAAGCTAATTCGGGAAAAAATCCTTAGAATCTTGATTGTGTCCTGGGAGATGAGTGATATCTGCCAAGAAGTTAATCGAGAACGCCGAATCATATTACTGGACTCGTTTGTATGAGGCAGGAGTGTCGAACTCAAATCGGGCGGCGGGGACGCATTCCTTACCTTGCAGATGCCTGCGAGCTGCACCAATACTTTTTTTTACCGAAATTTGAGTTGACAGTTAATCCAATTGGATATAACAAGAACAGACGGCAGGCTGGATTAACCTCATCCGCGGGCGGTATGTTTCACACCCCTGGTATAAGGCAATTCCACCGTCACAAAGAGGAGCCACATAAATGCCCCTCCTCCGAACGTTGTAACCATGCAAGACTTGGGGAGAAATATCCCCAGTGAACATTGAAAGTGTGCGAATCTGGATTTTCAACTTCGTGTGATGTACACCTGGGAAAATACACGTTCCTCCTCAAAGACACAACAATGAAACTTCCATAAATTACTAATTCCAATTCCGGAACTTCAATTTCAAAGGCCACTGGCGAATCCGTGACTGAAGGAAGTGTTACTTCTGTCTGCCACTAATTCTGAGAGCAGCGGGAATTATTAAAGAAATATATTCTCGGCGAGACAAGAGACGAAAAGGTGTGTACCAGGCACGTCCTGGCACAGAGGCTCAGGGAAGGGGAAGGGGGAATCAGGAGGGAGTATGTGAAAGAGTATTGTGCGAGGGAGGGAGAGGGCACGCAAGCGGGGTGGGGAATCCGCAACCGGGAACAGCCGGCTGGCTTGGTGTAAATTTTCCTACCGATTCTGTTTAAAATATTATCTCCTAATGACTGGAATGCATTTCAGAAATTTGGTGTCAATCAAATCCTTATAAATATACCTACTTTTTAGAGTAAGTTATATAGAAATCCTCATGCCTGAACTTGAGAAACGGCACATAATATAGCTGACATTCCGTAAAAATTCAAACTTGGGTTCAATAAAATCGCAAAGGATCTGAGGCGGATGAACGGATTCGCTTGAAAATGGTTCTGAAGTTTCTCAAGAGGCTTCCCCACATATTTGAGTGCTGATTTTTTTTAAATTCGCTTTCGTTCTCGAAAAATGACCATGAATCTGGGGTACTATGGACAAACATTGGGATTTTGAGGTATATCATCGAACTTCCTGGGAAAACGGATCGATGAATCATTGTGCCCTTTGACAAGAAGACGGACGAGGATGGTCTGTAAAAACTGGAGTATTATTTTTCCGGTGCAATGTTTATATGGAGAATGAGCGAGGAAAGAAGTTAATTCGCGAAACGCGAATTTTCACAAAAGAAGCCCCGACGTCTCGGAAAGCAGAGTGATGAACACATTTTTGGACTCATAATGTAACATGTTCTGTGGCAAGGAAAATAGCGCAAATTTGACGTTTCTGCGACCAAGATTTGGGAAGAAACAGATTTTCAAAGAGAGACATGCATATCGCGACCTTTGACCATTTGTCACGGTCAGGTGCTTGACCTGAGAATTCCAAAAATTGGCAGAATTTGGTCCTTGGGGTCCTCTACAATATTGATTAGCCAGAATTTCATCCTAAGGGGGTTGATTTTCATCTTTTCTTAGTACCTTAAAACTCACAATTTCTAAACCTGGTTTATCATTGAATACAATGAATATTTTCCAGGGACTTTCTTCCCTCAAGGAGAGGTACACAAATGTGAAGAAATGCATGGTCTTCTGCTCTTTGCTCAGGATGACTCTCAGCGCATCACCACTCGGCCTATTGTGCCTCGACACCGTGAGTTATCAATTTAAATGTCCCACATGTTTAGTTAGCATTGTGGATGTTCTGGGTGTTAATGTATGAAAATAAATGCTTTTTTCCTGCTATTGGTGTAGGTAAGACGGGCTTCAGCGGGTCAATAAAACGTTTGACATGTGTTGTTGTTACTGCGTAATGGATAGGAATTAAGCGAAGTCAATGTACTAATGTAGCCATGGACGTGACTAGGGTGTTGTCCTGAGTGTTTGCCCTTCACAAATGAAGCTAAATTTCATGAAACAAGGAGTACAAGAGTTGGGGCGGGAAGCGAAAAGTTCCTGGACTTTCACATAGCAACTGAACTTAAAACTTGAACTCATATCCACCTTTTAAATATAACTACTATTGACCAATACATTGTCCTCTCATTTTTCTTCCATTGCTCCACCGGTTTCTTTTTTAAATTCCAGTTGCCAACCACACTTCAGGAGTAGGGTGGCATGTAGCCACTGATTTGTGATTAATATGTCAGTCCTTGACCCATACGAGGTATCTCTTTTCATTCAAGACAATTTGAAATTTCGCAAAGAGACCGGGTATTTCTGAAACATGAAGTGGATGAGAAGAATATCCCAGCCAAGGTTATGGGTTACCCAGGTGGTGAAAAGGGCCACATGTGAATGGAACTGTCATGCTGCATCACCAAGTTTTTGTATGACCCATAGGAAGCCGTAGGGACTAATATCGTGCTATGGGTTACAGATTTTCATAAGCCAATGGGGGAAAGTTACTTATGAATAATGTTTTCCTATTGATATTTCGACTGCATCTGGTGGAGCAATGGAAAACGTATTGGTTATGAGTGATTATGTTTAAAAGGTGGATGCAGTGTATAAGTCCAAGTTGTACATGGGATATTTTAGATAATAAGGGTACTTTCCAGTCTCCTCTCATCAAAAGCCCTCATAGAGCTTATTTTCCAAGAGTAAGAGAGAATCCATCCTTCAAGCGGGAAGTCTGGTTACTTACTGGCAGTCTTTAGGAAGAACTTGTGGCAAAACCCATTCCAAACCCCGAAAAAGTGTTTCTTCGGAAAAAGCGTCCAATCTAAATATTTTACCCCAAGAGGGGTTACCTATACAAAATTACACTCAACCTCAGTATAGTTGATATTGTGCAAATATTCAATTTCTATATTAACCTAATTCGTTGGAACGAAAATATTTCTTGAAAGAGAGCCATAACAAGTTGCTTTCCTGGGCATCAACTTCCAAATTCTTCTTTTTAAGGTATGCAACATGGTTGGATACATTATCCTCCTATCAGTCGTTGACATATTACAGGAGTTGACACATTACCTGCCTCACTAATATGGTATCTAATACACGTAGACGACCATGACTGACTAAGTGACTGACGCTAATTTTAATCATGTCCTAGATAGGGTAGAAACCTGAAACTTGATACATATTGGGATACCGAGTACAGAAGAAATCACACATTGAAGGCAAATGCCCTTGTGGCAGACATTGAAGGGACATGTTTTCAAGGAAATATTTTGCTTCAAACGGATTGGGCAAAACATAACGGTGAAACTTGGCCTACACTTAATTGAAATGATGTTGAGTTCAGGAAAAAGTCAGAATTTGTGATGCATCCCCCCATGGCCCTGTTTTTGGGTGGTTCGGCCTTTCCAAATTTGTTTTTGCAGCAGCGAAATGGGCAAACGGATATGGCTGAAACTTGGTCAAAAATGAATTTCATGATGAAATATTCCATAAACAAAGAATGTATCCGAATTGAGAACCTGCAGTTGGTTAGTGAAAACGCGATACGCGCTCACAGTGAATTGTTTCAATCAATAATCAGGCGCCACTATGTATGAAGCATAGGAAGATAAGATCATACAGCCTGCGGCCTAGAATGGCAGAGCCTTGTAGCCCTAGCGCCTTATGCGTGGTATGGTCTAGAATAGCATCGTCGATAGTGGACATAAGAGCTGGAGAAAGTATGTTATTTATTCCTGTAAATGTCGAAATTCTTTCTGATGCGGACGATCGACTGTGGCTGAGGGTTTCTCGGTTCAATTTCTTCTTCAATAACTTGGTTCCCGTTACGTTCTGATTGAATTTGGAGTAAAACTGAACAATTGGTACAAATTATCGATAGTCAAGCATTCCTCAGTCATTTCCCTCAAACTCCATTCAATTGGAATCAATCAAATCGGAGACACAATATATCAGACATACGACAGACAACATGACTCAGTGCCGCAGCCGTGTTTTCAAATGCAAATGCCAATAAATGACTCCCACAAAAAGAGTTCATATTACCTGTCAGAAAAAAAGATCCCATCGACAAAAATGCGGACACTTCTTACCTGATAGAGAATTATCTCTTATTTCGAATGTTGTAAACCACGTCTCAATCAAATCTAGCATTGGGAAGTAATTAACTTAAGAAGATGGCGAGAACTATTGACACACCCTGTAATAATTGCCATCTACAGGTTGTATATACTGTATATTAAAGAGGATAAAGCAGATAGAATGAAAGCATACCAACAAAAGCCAACTTTTGGCCTCTTTTAATATAAGTATTAGAGTGAAACAGGCTGAATATTGCAGTGGCTGTCACGAATGTTACAGTGGCTGTCACCCTCTAATGTGTGAAACCTACAATGTTATGCCATTCTAGGCCATAAGCAATGCCATCATCTGCCTAAAGCGTCTGGCCTACAAGGCCCTGCCATTCTGGGTCATAGGCTAGGCCGTAAAAATTGAAAGAGTTCGAAATATCCATTAAGGTAATAGATGGAACTGTTGAATTTTAAAATGAAATTACTACAATGGAAAGACATGATATTTTATACAATTCTTCCATTCGATGATGAAGGAAGAATGAGTACTAGTATGCACTTTATTTAAGAGAGTGTATGTAATCCTTATCTCGATTTTCTTACTTACATCCGTCTCTTCCATGTATTTTCATTTCCCAGAAGGTGGAGATATATGGATGGAAGTGGATAAGCTGCCCCGTGTTTATGGAGAGGGTCAAATAATAACAACCAATAAAATCTTATTCCGAGGGAAGATAAAGGTGACGTGGAAGATGCATACTAAGCCCTTGTTGCGGTCACTGGACAGGGAGTTGGCAAGATTACCGCCGCTCTCTCAAGGTAGGATATGAATTTTCTTTTTTGTTTTTTTTAATTATAATTCCTCACTTTGGCCTGCAGTCCCAAAATGCCATCATCTAATTTGGAATCCAAGAGGTATTGTATACTGAGACCACAATCGTAAACCATTTCTCAGTGAACAAAAAATCTACACATGCCAGGATTGGAAATGTTACTAGGAGAACGTGTTTAGGGTGGATGTGATAGCCTTGACACTTGAAACGTCGATTCTGAAGCTGCATTAATTCCAAACAATATGAAGGGCGATAGCTAATTTATGTTATTGATTTACAGAGTGTGCAATGAATAATAAATTACATCATTTTTTTCTAAAAATATTCCACCAGTCATAATGCCAGAAACTAGAGGAAGATGAGCCATCTGTGTCTTTAAGTATGAATCACTTTAACTACAACATATAGCGTTAAATTGCCATCACAAGTATGAGGTATATAAACATACGCATAAACATCCTAAAACGTTCCTTTCTGGTTGCATATTTTCCCGTATGTGCGATTCCTTCTGCTTGAAAGGAAATGTCTGATTCCAAGAAAATGAAGTTAGACCAAGGATGGTTCTTAGCAATTGCAGAGGAAGAATCGTGAGAACTGAGGAAAGTTTTTACTCTGAATTCCCGTATCTGTCATGTCTACATCGGTCATTTTCGGCCTGTGAAAGTATGGCATCGAAAAGCTGGTTCTTCAATGATACAAATGTCTCAACATGAGTGGTGACAATATGGAAAAGTAGTGTAGGGCAGGGACTACCACAATGCATGTGTGACAGGTTCAAAAATAAATTGATTTTAGATCTACAGGCCTTGTTCTGTAAATGATCACCCCTCCTATTTTTTTTTATTCCAGTACAATTAATTGTGTATGGTGCCACTATTATCCTATGCGGACCATACATTTTCATGGGGGAGCGACACTAAATTTTGTATTTTTGTTCAAATTATGCACAGAAACAAGTCGCAAAGGACTAGCTAAAATGGACATCACTGAAGCGCTATTGCATTTTTTGTGCATGAATATATTTACAAGTTCGTATCGGTCAACGTAATGGAAGTATAAAGTGTATTCCACATGTTTGACAATTTTCTATCACAGATGCCCTTAGAATATGTCAAAGGTAAGTGAATAATCATCTGTCAACTAGGGTTAAATAATGTCCCCTAGCTTTGGCCAAAAATGAGAAATCTAGCAGTCTTTTCTAATTCTAAAGAAAACAGAAAATGAATATTACTAAAAAATTTGTAAATGTTATCAGGGTAAATTTTTTTTTCTATCCTTGCTTTCAAGTTTTCACCTTTACAGATGACATTGAAATCGAGGTGCACTCTTGGCAAATGATATCTTATCCTACAAATCACACATTTTTGGTTGCCTAGCAAAACTGGCAATAAGCTGGGTTGCTAATAAATGTTGTGAAAGGACCTATATCTCCCTATTACTTATCTACTATGAAAATTTAAATTAAAGCTAATGTTGCTTGACAGCTGATTGACAGCTAGTGAGATCAAATTGAGAAATCTGATCTCACTAGCTGAAGCTATTGTTCTCATTTTAGCATAAAAAGTAAGCGCGACTTGTAATGTATTTTTGACATGATCCCATCGTTTATGTGCATGAAATTCATGTTTGATGTTGCAGTTTCGCCAAGAAAACTGGGTCGTTCAGACGTCGGTGATTTGGACTTGGATTATATCAACCTGAAATGGCCCACCTCCTTGGATGATCCTTTGGGAAAGCCAGAGTGTATGAGCAAAAGTATCGACGAGGTGGTTCGAAGTAGTTCAAAAATGTGCATGACCTCAGCGGGCAGGTCTGTTCACTATCATATATTGAATAGGATTATAATAATTTGCTAAGAACCTGCCTCCCTGAGAGGTTACCTAATCGTAGTTGGCTACGCCTTCCTTTGAATGTAGTTCAGGGGTGTTCAACTTGTATGTGAGAAGGTCCCCTGACCAACTGTGCTAGAGATCTGGCGGTCCGGAAGAAAAATCTCAATGTTACAATTGGCAGTTGCTATCTTGTGCACTTTTCTTTAAGTCTTGTGTGAGCGTATTCAGACCGGTGCAACGACACGTACAGGTGATCATTGGTCAGATAAACGCGATTCTGGTGAAGAGAGTGTTTAAAGTGAAAACGCACTTTCACATATGTAGAGGGACTCACACCTAGTGAGAACAATGATTACCAGCTCCCTTAGTTGTGGGTACTTAGTAGAGGGTCCAGTATACCCTATAACAGTTCTTTATTTTCTGGCGACTCGGTATACTTGTCCTTCAACTCTTCAACCAAATGAATGTCAGCAAGCTTCTGCTGCAAATCAGCACAAGACCAACGCAAAGAAGTAAAGAAGTTTTCATAGCCCACAGGATCACCTATTTGCTGTTGTGAAACGCTCTGAAATGATAATGGAAGTGGAATTAGACTTCACTGCGATTAAATCTCTGAATGCATATAGAGATGGCTCAGTCAAATCGCCCTCTTCATTTAAATATTGGAATGTTTGGAAGTTGAGAAGATCGTCACTTCGAACTTCTTCCTATTTTATATGAAGGGCTGTGATTGCCTGAAACAAACCACAAGGTTTACATTGTTGCTCTGAAGCAAGACGTTCATATTGCGATGAGCTAGGATGTCGGTTAGAATAGTGAGGCGCAGCGCGTCATCGCCACTTTTTAGTAAGTCGAGGATATTTGGGGAGGTCGAAGGAGCTGAGGAAGTAAACCAATTTGTGATGCAACCCCAACCTCTATGTGTATCAGGTAAAAGCGGTAAAACCATCTACGATCTGGAAATAGGACTCTTCCTCCTTATAAAGGTATTGAAATACTGGGTAGCCCAAAAAGTTCCAAACTTCGTGCGACTGCAGACGGGACACCATAGTAGGCATCATCATAAAATGATCAGTGTGTCAAACCCAATATAGGTAGGTGGCTTTAGGAAAATTCCAATTAAATTGCTCAGAGCATTATTAAGATGTCTTTTCGTATAATTCGTCATATGAGAAAGTGCTTCTGCGTTTGCTGGCGTGCTGCTTCGGCAGGTAATCCAAGGTGGAGACATCCATGGAGGATCCATCAAGCAGTTCTTTCATTGAGTTCAGGTGCGTTCTTTCGCACACTCGCTCTTTTCACATCGCGCGGGAGAAAAATTGTCACACACCTAGTTTACAACCAATTTCAATGAATTTTGTTTACATTACCAGCAAACTTTGCATGAAAAAGCATATACATTTCCGTCAATAAATCATGTGGTACACCGTCTGCAGGCGTGCAAAGCTCGGAACTTTTTTGGGCCACCCCATATTATAGAAAGAAATATAAATCAAATGCAAATGAGATCCCCATTGGAGGAAGGACAAAGTCTTTGTTTACTAGAGACCGATATTATTTAAGAAAGAATAAACAATATTGCATCCACCTGGTTTTCAGTATCTGTTCAAAAGTGATATGCTGTGTTCATTGTTAAATAAGGTGAATTCATTATTGAGTTATCTATTGCGCCTAAGTAAATTTTAAATATTAATTTCTACCTTAAAATACACTTCTCCTTAGCAACGACTTCGTTATGTTCTATATGATGTTACAGGAGTTTTCCATTTTTATGAGTAGAAAAGGAGTTGTTCGGGCGATTTTCAACCTCATTCCAGTTGTCCTCTATGAATTATTTCCTTCATACAGTATCTTTTAACATATCAACGTAAGAACTACTTTCGGTTGAAAAAAAGAAATATTCGCAGTAAATCACCCACTCCGGTTGTTATACCGCAAATTTATAATTTTACCTGAAATAATAATTATCACTGCATGTGCACAAAATTTCAGCTTTTCATCCAGCCCTAAGGAAAATATGCTTTATAGGACAGGAATAATGACTTGAGCAGCACTCTAAAACATGTTCTGCTTCTTAAAGAGTTACATTTTGAGAATCAAAGAACATATAGCGTAATGTAACTACGTTCGAGGCGTTTTTTCAGGTATGGAAATATCCATTGCGGGCTCTCATTAGTGGATATGCTGCAAAACTTTTTTTTGGCTTAACAAATTACAGAAGTTGTTAACTTGAAATATTGCAGGATAATCCGTGAGAATATTAAGGTTTTTAAAAATTGAGACTTGTTAATTTTCAGCAAAGCCAGTTTATTACTTTTTCCCACTGATTTTGGCCTAGTTTCTCACAGGAAGCCCTATGATTCCACTCCTCCTTCCGTTGCGAATGAGTGACGACTGAGCGCATTAAGGAAATGTTTATGCCATACCTGGGTCAGAATAAAATTAATGTATCGTTGATTTAGGTGCAAGAAAACCCCATTCAATTACGAATACGTATTAGGACACATTGTAAACGCATCCTAAAAAAAGTTTTATGCATGTCTTCATGTGCTCAACTCTTTCAAATTATTGAATATTCTTTCTTAACAAATAATTATCCGTGGAGCGAGCAATATGCTTGTTGTACTCATTCTGGAAGGCTTCAAGTACCTACTCATTATTAGTTCATCGTTGAAATACACTCCTCAGGGTATCTATTGCGTCATTTGAAGCACATTTGATGTGCATTCAGGCACAGTGAGGAGCACTTGAGGAAAAATTGCCACCTAGGGCATTTCTGTTGCACAGAACACACAATGCCTTCTGATTGTTAATATTTCTTGAGTTCTGATATTATATTTTGGCAAGAAGAGTTTGCATTTAAGTGACCCATTCATCTCCATGCATGATTAAACTTACATTATCTCTTACTATTTCAAGGGTGATATTTTACTTTTTTTTCCAAATAACTAAACTCATTTTTTGAATTGCGAAGGAAAACATGAAGAATCAACGAACGATCTCCGAAAATTTGAGCCCTTTTCTTATATTCATTCAAAAGCTCATGTCTCTATCAAAATAAAAGCCAGCCCTTCGAATTCATAACCCACTGGGAAACGAGTGTCCGTAGACAGCCAACAAGGCCGCGTATTCTAAAGGGGACACCCCTAATTGCAAGAAGCATTCCTGCTATCCCTAGGCAACCACAGACATCCGACGTACGTCCTCCATATGTGAGAAGATAAGATGGACGTTTCTCAGATGACAACCTGACTCTATTCAGTAAGAATAGAAACAGAAAGGGACCCATCAATGTTTTTTTTGTTTGAATGCATGTAACGTGACGCCACAAAACCAAGAATACGGGGCCACTGTTTTTTTGCACAAATTTCTTGCTTATGCATCACAGGAGGAGAAAATGAAACAGTGAAAACGTGTGCCTGTAGCTTGTGACTAACAGCCTGAGACAAAGATTTTCGCAGGGAGGGGGCCTTCTTGATTGTTTTTTTTTTGCTGGGTGATATGGCCCATTCAGTCGTAATAAGGTCTGTCTATGCCAAGTGGTCTGAAGATTTGTTGCAATAAATTCGTCAAAATTTGCGAATGTATAATCCTATGAAAAAAGTTCGTAATATTATCAAATCAGCGAGTATGTGAATATACTGTACTAGAGAGTTTGTTTGACCGAAGGGCAAACAAACTCGCTATGGACGCGCCTTCGGCGCTCTGCGATCTTAGGCATCTGTTTGCGATGCTCACCACTATTAATGCGGACAAACTCCTTTGTTCATGGGTTCAATTCTCGCAACTTAAAGGAAAGGTGGCAAAGAACATATTCTTATTGGCGCCATGTCATTTGTTTTTTGTAATTTGTTTTAACGAACATATTTTCTTCTTCTGAAATGTAGACTCAGGGAACTCCATGCCTCCCAGTTTCAGCGTCATACGTTTCCCCATTTTCTGGCAGTAAAAAATATATTTGGAAAAGCAACCCCCCAAAAAGCTTTGCTCTGAGGAGATGCGCAACAAAAGCTTAATTTTTCCTTAAATCAACATCACTTCCGTTATACGTGCGCCAGCTACTTTTCTATTTCTGTCCGATTCGGTAGATATGGGAAATTCGTTGAAAACATTACCTCCCCAAGAAATATCCCCCAAAAATGCAAATATTTCGGGAATTTGAAATTTTTTAGCTTAGTACGTCCACAGTTACATTCTTGAAAAGTTTCAGCTTTCCACGTTCATCAGTTTAACTGATGCAAAAAAATTAGTTGAAAACACCTGACTTGGAAATTTGTGCCCCCAGGGCATTTACTTCTAAAGTCTGAATTTTTCTGCAACATCCTAATTGGTAGGTATGCACGAAATTTCATCTTTCCACACTAACTCAATACACCAGGACAAAAAAAGTACTTGAAAACGTCGGCTCCTCAAAATATGCCCCCAGAACATGGATAAAAAATGTTGCATTTTTCCTGAACTCACCGTCTCGGTAGGCACATCCATGCCATGTTTCAATTTTCCAAGTCTCTCCGTTTTACTCAAGCAAAAATAATGTTATGGAGGGGAATGAGTAACGGGACATGGAAGGCAAAGAAAGCCAAAAGAGAGCCAAGGAATGGGCGAGAGTTGAACCTGGACCTCCTGATTGCCAGTCAGATATGCCAATAATACACCACCGAACCCACGACATCCAGTTGACTCACTGAATGCCATATATCAAAAGAAGAATTTTTCCTATACTCAGCCATCAAATAGGTACTTATGAAGTAATTTTAAATTTTCAGTCTCTGTGTCATTGGATCAAAAAATTTCAGGAAAATGAGACTGAAAAAAGTGCCTGGATGGGTTTTAATGAAAGTTTTTATTTCTTCTGAAATGGAGACTGAGGGAACTCCACGCCACCCAGTTTCAGCCGCATAAGTTTACGCTTTTGCTGACGGGAAAAGAATTGTATTTGGAGAAGCGACCCACCCAAAAGTTGTGCTCTGAGAAGACGCACAACAAAATTTGAAATTTTCCTTAAATCAACATCACGTCCGTCATGCGTGGGCCAGCTGCTACTTTTCTATTTCTGCCCGATTCGCTAGGATATTACAAATTCTTTGAAAACGTTACGTCCTGAAGAAATATGCCGCCGAAAATATTTTGGAAATTTGACATTTGAGCTCTGTGCTTCACCAGTCACGTTCTTGCCAAGTTACAGCTTCCCATGTGTCTCCGTTTGATTGAAGCAAAGAGAACTATTTGAAAATATGTTCCCCGAAATAGTGTGCCCCAATGGCGTGCATCACCAAATTAGAATTTTTCTTGAACTCAGCATGTGATAGGCTACTTATGCCTGTCAGTCAGCTACTCACGATACCGTATATATAATATGAAAGTAAACTTTTTTCCTCCACAAGCATACCATACCAGTGCGCATCTACCTAGACTATGACCTACTAAGGCGTAGGACAAAGGCCCCGCGCCGCATGCTAAGAGAAGCTGAAATGTTCCTCGATGCCAAAAAGTCAAGATCGATGTAAGCCTGAGCATCCGTCCAAGGGATGGATATAAGCTGGCTGAGTCATTCCCATCAGAGTGAGTACCTCCAATGTCGTACTTCTGTAGCATATGCAAGCCAACAGCTATTTACTTTCCATCCCGTTTCCTTTGGGAAGGAATGTTTATGAGAGTAGTATTGGCCTAAGCGTCATTCCATGGGGTAGGCCTAGGCCTTAGAAATTAGTCTCCCCGAGCGTGTACACCACCCCTTCCGAAGTCTGAATTCCTCTGGAGTGAACAACGTAGCAATAACACACACTTCCTTCAATGACTGAGGAAGGAACATAATCATGAGAGTGCCGTAAGCCTACACCTACCTCTAGGGGGGCTAGACAGCAGTCTCATAAGCTCATTTCTTCAGAGTTTCAGGGCGATAATTCCACTTCGACTATAGGGAACTTCATCGTTAATTTGATATTCTGGCGAAATGACTATGGGAGTCTCTTTTTGAAACTATTCTAAAGGTTCGATACAGTTGTCTATGAAAAAAGACGTGATTCTGTAAATGCAGCCCGTAGTTATAATTTCCCGTTTCGTTGAAGTGAGAACATACTGAAGTGGGAACATTGGCCTTAGCGTCCTTAAGTGACGTAGCCTCCTTGTATCGAAATGTCAATGGAACATCATCTACAGCTTCGCCAGAAAAATAAATAGAACCCATTTACATCTGCAAGCGTACCTGTACGCGTCAACTCGTGTGCTCTTCACCAATGGCCCAACAGAATAAGTCAAACGCCTAGCATGTCAGGCTATCCGAAGCAGAAGGATTCCCGGTCAAATGGGCCGAGAAGTTCCTTAACGCTAATTGCTGATGAAGATTGGTGTAGGCCTCCACGTCTGTCCAAGGGTTACCTATTGACATGCTTACTCAGTCCCCTCAGAGCACGTATTTTCCATGTCAAACTTCATCTGACGTGTGGAATAAAACAGCTATTTCTTTTATCTCCTGCTTCCCTGAAAGAAGAAAATGTATGAGAGAGGTATTACCCTAAGCATCCATCGATGGCTTGGGCCTAGCCATGCAAAATCAGGCCCCCTCTCGCCCAAAACATGCCCCCTGGACATGGACACCCAAAGTTGGGCATTCAACGTTAAACTTTCTCTGGAGTCGACAGCCTATCAGCTATGCACGTTCCTTCCGTTTTGTTGAAGGCAAGGTGTGCCAGAGAATGGTCTATGCCTAAGCATCTGTCTGAGGGTTGCACCTATGCTTACAAAGAGAGACCCCCTGGAATGATACCCCAGGGCACTTACCCCCAAAGTTGGAATTTTTCTAGAGTCAGCAATCTAACAGCTATTTGTGTACCAAGTTTCATCCTCTCATCATGTCTAGAACATAGGTAGAATTAGCGTCAGTCAGTCAGTCACCATCGTCTATATTAGATGTCTATTTTTCCAATTTGAATGATATTTGGCAAAGAACATTACTATTCAAGACAAGAGCATACTTTACATTTTCAAATGAACTTTCAAGACACATCACATATGACAGTCACAAAATAGCATTTGCTTTCTTTTCGAATTTGTGTAATTATGGAATGACACTAATTTCAGACTTTCATTCAATCTATAGAATGAACATAGCCCCAAATTGCAGCTCATGCTATGTAATAAGTTCTTCATATGATAGAAATGTGAAATTTCCTCGACATGTCGTTTTAGAAATGATGTCGAGAATACAGATATATTTAAATTTGGTGGATGGCATCCTGGACATCTATGTTTGAGATTGGGTGGGAGTATTTCGATATTTGTATGCATATGTATGGCTACCTGTGGGATTCATGAACATTGCTTTCGAAGGGAATTATAATAAAATGATGCTGATCTCACTGAATGAGTAGGATTCTGGAAGGTTTTTTATATTGACTCCTGAATGAATATATCCTAGAAAAGCAGACAAGGACTGTATCTTCTTACCAGGAAAAAAGGCCGTTTACTTGTTCTCCCTTGAAGTTTAGTTTTCCATGGTATTTGTTGAATTTTCCAACATTTTCCCAAAATTCCTCGTTCTTTCCCAGGATGTTCCTAATTTTGATATGGCCTCGAATTTAGGCAAATTCCTTTTCCACACTATATATCGAAATTAAGAACATGATTGGGTTGTGTTCCTATGTTCGAGAGTGTCTTACCGTTCATGATTTCTGTGACAAAAGAAGAAAGTAACCTAGTCCTATCGTTACAAAGCTCTAGAATATACGTTTGTGTAGCATACAACAACGAAAAATCTCCAGAGGAATCTTTGAAAAATATTGGAAAATGACTCGCTGAAGTTGCGAGAATAGCACTGAGAGCCCAATCATTCGGGCTTCAAGACCTCAACTCAAGTAAATGAGGGGTACATCCATGCTCCTGGCCCTATAAGTCAAGTGATCCTCAATTCGCCTTCTCCACTCAGCAGACGATGCAATAGGATGTGATTGGCAATAACTTGGCATTTGGCATTGAGTGACAGGGGTCGTATATGTGCTACCTCGAACTTAGGCACATTTTCTGAGGGGCTCGAACTTAGAAAAATAGCGCTAGTTGGAAAATAACATGAGTTTATAACAAAATCAATGTCAAAAAAGGACTTCGAATTTACCACAATAACTGGGGTAAATCCGAACATTGTGACGGGAAAATCCCAACAGTGCCTATATTGTAATGCATTCCCTCACGATAAGATCTTATGGGATCCAATGAGATTTTTATGTTTAAAAATATTATTATAGGATCCTATAGGATATTTTCATAAGGGTTGGCAGAAGTTGCACAAAGAAGTCTCTTGGATGTGCCTGAAATTTCGTCGGTTCACTCTTTATGTGCCCAATTTTCACACGCAGAAAACATCACCCAGTTCTCAATTAATTGCTCTGAGTATTCTGCATTGCAGAATACACAAAATAAGTTATCATAGGTTTTGCAGCAGTCAATCGGAATGTCTCTCCTGTAATTTTTTGTTTTGGGATGGTTCATCTTAGTGAGCAAGAGCTTTCTTTCCTTAAGGATCTTATTTTTTTCTCTCTTGACTTAAGGTCGACTGATGGAAATCAAATCAAACAAGTTTTTCATCCTTCATCTTCAGGTGATATTGAAGAGTGCTCTTCGGTACCCCGAACTCCTTGACAGCCCATCCAAAATACTTGATTTTCCACACAGCGAGCCTGGCATACTTAATATATTTTCTACCCCAAATGCCTGCTTGTATTTTTTTCATACTTTCGCGGCATCAAAAAAGCATTATAATATGTAATTTCACAAAATAGGACAGCATTAACATTACTTGGGCAGTATTCAGTGATTCGTTCTCCCTGCAATACCAAGGAGAATAATGTAGTGATCCAAACAGTAGGGTAAACGTTCGGTTTTCCCCCTCTTCGCCAGACTGGGTTAACCCCACAATAGGGTAGTGTGGGGCTAATCGGTCAAGATTTTTCGTTTTCCTTACTCCACAACCAATTATGTTTATAAAAATAAAAACAGGAAAACCTTTGAAACCTCAAATGGCCATGTCATTCAACTAATTACTTAGTCCAAAACGAAATCCTGAATATTCATGAATTAGCCTAGAGAATTAAGATATTAACATGTGGTCGGCGTGACCGATTAGCCCCAAGGGGTGCGGCTATTCGGTCACCTGAATTCCGTGTCAGTGTTTGCTTTATTGCTCGATTCCAAGGGCTGACAGGTAAAATAAAAACACTTCACAAAGCACGGGTAGGCCTATCAGGACCGAATAGGACCAACCAGTGGCGTATTATAGCTGAAGGGTCAAACTCCACCAGAGTGATATCAGGTGAGAAAATTATTTCCTCCAACGGGACGCCAGGCTCTGTCCCATGGGCGCCAGGGGAGACGGCTGCCCCCCTACTCCCTGTAAAATACGCCACTGGGCCAAACCCACCGAAATGATTTCCGAAATGAAACAGCAACACCTTGATATTCGGCACAAATAAAAAAATCGTTTTTCTCTCCAATCCCTTGATCCCTCCCAGCTATCAAGCCCGATTTGCTAGGTGGGCTTGTTAAGAGTCTGCTTTTTGGATGGCTTGCGAACGATCTTCCTCTTCTTGCTTCGCTGAGCGTCAAGCATATCACACACAAAGGGTAGGATATTGTTGTACAATGCAATAGCTCATGCTTCTAATATCAACGTGATGATAATAAAATAAATCAAATAAGGATGATTTTGGTCACGCATGGTGTGTTCTTGTGAATAGTGGTTAGATGTACACCAAAGACAAGTCACGGGATGAAAAGGTTTACTGGAGATGCCAGGATCGAAATTGCAAAGTTCGTCTTGTGGCAGGGAGAAACTATTTTGGAGGCACCCGATGTGCATCCTAGGCATGAGACTCGCACCAATAACCACGTCGAGCGATGGCACAATAAGTTGAGGAACAGTTTAATTGGCCGAAACCATACCGCCATATTCCATTTCTTGGACGTCATCACCGAGGAGCAGTCAGCGGTTCAGAAGCGATT